TACAGTGCAATTTGACCCAAGCATCCTATTTATAGCTACATTGATAACTTGCTTTATGAGTCAGTTTGTGCGTGAAAAGAAGAAAACACTTTCTGTGGCCTTTAATTCAACATTTAGATATCTCGACAATGTATTGTCAATTAACAACGGTAATTCCCATCCCTACGTCCATACGATATATCCTGGTTAGCTTGGGATAAAAGATACCATAGAGTCTGACTCATCTGTTTCATACTTGGATATTTTACTTGAAAAAAACGTTAATGGTCATCTAACAACCAAGCTTAACAATTCTTTTCTATATATCTCTTTGTAAAACTTGGATTAAATATTGTAACCCCGCCCTACCCCCGGCAGTCATGATTTGTATAATTAAAAAATTATACTACCCCAGGATGCTTCCACACATTATTTAGCTTTTTGGCCAACTGGTTCTTGAGAAGAAGATTTTTAAAGATTTTCACTACATATTTCTATGTAAAACTTGGATTCCAAATTGAGTCACAGCCCTTTCCCCGGGGGTCGTAATTGGGACAATTTAGAATCGACACTACTCCAGGATTCTTCCACATAAGTTTCAGCTTTTCTGGGCCACAGGCTCTTGCGAAGAAAGCTTTATAAAGGTTTTTCCTATATATTCAATGTAAAACTTGGATACCTATTGTGGATGCCTTGTACCAAGTTTGATTAGGATTGGCCCAGTGGTTTTTGAGAAGAAGTTGAAAATGTTAAAAGTCCACAGACGGACGGACGGACGAGGTCACCTCAGGTGAGCTAAAAACATATTACAAAAGAACTTTCTCCACAATGAATGTCATCCTTCCAAGTCCTCACAAGTCGATTACGACACAAAAATTTTGTATATATTTTTCTCTTTCATCTTCTTTATGTATATATTTTATGTGATGCATTGTTTAAGCCTAATTTCATATATGGTTAGGACAAATGATATAAACTTTTAAAAACCATATAATTGACAGTCTATATTATGTTTACATGAGAAAAATTAATATGTTTCTTATATAGTCCTATTGCACTCTCCGACGTCACATTGTGTCAAAGGTCAATCGTGGATACATTTTACATCCGGGTGTATGCGCTATAGTAAACATTGAATTGTATGTAAAAGAAAAACTTGGCTATAAATACTGAAATATAGAGTGAAACTATCAGTTTCGGTAAGTTTTGTGTGAACCGATTACGATCAGAACAAAATTTGGTGGAGTTAAATTCCTTTTTTATGATTATTATCGAGTTATTTGTTTAAATTTATCGTGTTCATATAGCCTACCATTGTGTATCTGTATGACACCGTTTGTTTACCAGCTGTTGACACAATAAAGTTACGGATTGTTTTATTAAAATTCTTAATATTTTTATAGGGAAAACTAAACACGGCCCGCTTAATCAGCTGTTATTTGGTTCATGTAACAGCATTTACTTCCCCCAAGGTAAAAAAGGGGACTGGATTTAAACTCCTCATGCTCAGTAATGTTGGGATGCAAGTGATCAGTTGAAGGCTGCAGATTTACGTTAGACCTGTAGGCCCAGATGTTTACAATGTTTATGTTCATCATAGAGCGGTAACGGCATAAAGGATATTTTTCTTCCAGTTTAGATATTCAGCTGTTAATGACGCAATACACAATCATATATGTATATACTTGTAACACAAGTGTCATTTAATTAAGTGTTGCAATGTATAGGTAAAGTGATCTGCCCTTAGTTCTTAGAATGGAAATAAAATTAATAAAATTCAACAGTATACATTGTATAGTGTTTTATGAAAATTGTGATCAATTCAAGCATTCTTAACATGATTTCTTTTTTTATTAACACTGTATAAATAAATTATGTTGTACTTTGTTCCTAATTTAAAATTTTAAATACAATGATTTGGTACTTCATTTTGTTAGAACACTATTCTTAGAATAGCTGCAGAACTGCAGCTCTCTGAAAAATAAATATCTGCAGCCAGTAATCAGATTCAGTGTTGGATAAGCATCACTGCCAAAATATTTAGTCAGCATCAACCCATCAGGAATGGTCAATTTAAAAATTATTTCAGAGTGCTGGGGTGGGAGAACCAGTGATGAGCGTATCACTTGATATTGTAGAGCTTTTTGACTGGATAATATTAGTTACACAGTCAGTTAGTGACCTAATACGGATTCATACAGGGTGTGAAATGGAAATCCGTATTAATCAGATTCAGTGTTGGATAACTGTGCGAATTTATCTGAAGACCTTTTTCAATATAAAAAAAAATATTTGTGTATATTATGAAAATATTAGTTTTAATCCAATAACAATCAACATAAAATATCGTTACGGTAACAAGCATACGTTAAAGCCGCCATTTTTATTTACAATAACAATCAGGAATGATTTTCATATTACGTCGACGGAGACAATTTACGGAAAAAAATTAGCTTTTTTCAGAGACAAATTTGTCTGAAGCGGGATAATGGTCGATATAGGTTTTGGTAATTTATTATTGAATCAAAATTTAAATTACTCTTTCTTAGTGCAACATTAGTGACCAATTTGGGCTGGCATGGGGATAGTAAGATGTCTGCTGATGATGTCAGAAAAACAGACTATTGAGTTTTGTTGAACAAACAATTAGGAAAAGGAAGAGTATTTTTCTATGTTTGAAATATTAAATTCCTCTTACATTATGTTAGCACCTTGATCGGCTTGATGACATTTTAAGAATAATTAATGGCATATGTGATATGTAACAGGAAAACAGAAAGCTGTATGGTTGGATGGAGAATTGAACCCTGGACCCTTCTATCATGCCCCAAATCAATGTTACACATGTATTCAACCCTTCCAAAGTACTACGAAAACAAAAAATTGACATGTTCATGCAATTTACTTTATTTATAAATTCCACAAAACATATACATGTATGTCATTGGTAATATAGGGTTGAATAAGTCATTATTCAACACACAGACACAAACACAAAAATAAATAAATAAAAAAAAAGGTCAATAGAAATTTATATCAAAAGATTTTTTTATTTCAGGAATAAATGTCAAATATGCCAAAGGCGTTCATATAAAAAAAATAATAAAAATGTCCTTCAATTGATTCATCATCTTGATAAAGCCAAAATATCTGTTATTTCTTACATTTACATTTTCTTGATACAATAAAATCACGCGCTTGCTCCTGGACCCATCGACTGTCTCTTTCTCTCTCTCCATGTGGTCTTCTTCATTTTCGGGTAAGCAGGAAAACATATAACATTCAGTGAAAATAATTGCCTAATAATTCTATGGAAAACGCAAATCCAAATTCGACAGATTGATAGATTGTAAATGCTGACAAGGACATTGTATTGACCATAGAATATACGAAATGTTGACCTTAAGCTTCCTTTCAGAGACTGTTTGTACGTAGAACACGCTCTTTCATATGGAATCATTGAACATCCTGGTAATTTTTTTTTTAACCTTTTATCGAGGTTGGCGACTGTGTAAACTGCAAATGCATAAGCTCAAGATAAATTATAAAAAAATCAATGGAAATCCCTCTGTCTCAAGTGTGAAAGTCACAACGGATTTGACGCTATCATACAAAATGTAATTACCTTTTTCAGTCAGATTTATTCACCCAAAAAATGGTACCTAGTTCTCTTGGTCAAGTTTTGGAAGACCATCTCCGAAAACTACATAAAGGTTGGTACTGTGGAACACAAGCACTCTTAAAATATCAATTTCAGAATATTGTAGAATCAGATTGACTTTTGTTTATTCACAATTACAAGATGACGAGAAATAATTTATCATAGAATATACATTTTTATCCATAAATAAAGACGTATATAACAACATAAGCACGAGAGTCAAGCATACGTTTCTTTATTACAAATACAATTTATGTTTGTATGATAAATCCTGAACAAATAATAACTAATTTAATTATGTTCAAATAGCCAGAATGTGCATGAGAAATGACAAAACCCCATTCAACTAAAATTAATGACCGTAGGGACAGAGTGACAAACAAAATAACAACAATTGGACAAAACATATGACGCTTTTTTTGCAATGGTTTACTTTAATGTCAGTTCTAAATAGTCGAAAAAAAAAAGATAAAATCCAAATAAATGTAAATTAAATCTGTTGAATATTTAAGATTAATTACACACAACTTTTTTTTTAAAAAGCTGAGATAAGAATAAAATTGTCCTAACAACATAGAAATAAGAGGGTTGTGCCAGGAAACGTGAACTTTTTCATGCATGTATATTGCTTTTTTCGTTATTTCCCGAACATGACTAGGCTCACATGGCAGATTTGAGCGGTCGGCAGGGTATGCTCTCTCCTCAATGGCACCTAATCCCACCTCTGATGTTTTAGAGATCTGTGTTTGCTCTGCTACTGTTTTGTTTTATGGACTTTTGATCTTGAATACTGTTCGTTATCTTCATATGATTCATTATCGTCATTTTGAATCATTCTTTCATCAGTGAGTAATATGTTATTTTTCCAGAATTTTTTTTGAAATTTTCTATTTATTATTTATTTTAATTTAAAATTTAGATTTAGGTGTCTTCCAATTTTAATTTTTTTGAAATGAGTGAAAACGACAATTGAAAATATTTGGACTTTTTGGGACAACCCTCGTAACAAGAAAAAAAATTTCATTTGATATTAAATGTCTTTACTTCACAAAGCAACAAATGAGACTACGGAATCCTAGTAATGTCAACCTGTGTATATATATATATATAAAAAAAATTAAAAACAACCATCTGTATATAAAGCAAACGCGAAACATAGAAAACAAGACCTCAAAATACATCAAGAAAATGTTATTTATAAAAACAAACCTTTGAAATATATTAATGGTATGCAAAATATATAATAAATCGAGGTTATGTTTCTATATTTTGCATATCCTTTAATACGGAGGTTTGCTTTAACATTTGAGTTGTTCTTTAAATATGCACAAATAGCATTGATGCCAATAAAAAGTCTAAATTCAATGATGACTAAATCAGTATAAACTGACACTTTTAATAATTCATTTAATGACTTTATAAAATACTCAGCTTTCTATTCCTTTAATGTGTTACATCATTATCTCCTTTCTTTAACTACATCAGAACTCATTCATTTTGCAAGCTCTTTCTTTTTGTTTTTCTGTATCTGTAAAAAAAAAAATTAATTCTATTGGCATGAATTATAATTTTGTTTCAAATACTTATGTTAAGTCATTGCCCTGTAGAAATAATCCTTAAAATGTTATTTTAAAAAGTTATGCGTGTACACCTATAAAGTTTCATGGAGTTTCCTAATAAAGTAAAAAATAAAGTATTGTTATACAAAAAATCTGTATTTTGCTACAACTAACTTGTTAATTGGTATATTTTTTTTTACAGTTAACAGTTTCCTAACCTATACTGTACATTATGTAAGGGATAAATAACGAGATGGTGTTGAATAGGTTAGAGAAAACATTCTCTCCGAGGGCCGAAGGGATGCTTTCTCTAAACTATTCAACACCATCTCGTTATTTATCTTACTTTTAAAAATTCCCTACCTTGGGCCCCAAAGAAACATTTACCCATTCAAATATCCAACTTGCTGTAATACAATAGGATGTAACCCATTCAAATATCCAACCGTTTCACAAAATAATAGCCTAATCGAACACCCCTTTTATTCATGGACTAGTGGTCATGAAACTACATGGTGCTGATTTCATTTTAACCCTTTTCATTGTACTAAACAGTCATGAAATCAGACGAAGAATATTTTTAAATCCAATGTAAATTAAAGAGGTTCAGATAGTGTTTTGAATACTTTTGACCTGAAAGCTGAAGAAAACTACAGACTTTTTATAAAAGGTTGGGAATTTGTCATTACATATCACAAGATGATGGTTTGTTGAGGAAAAGCGTTGAATTCTGATGGAGTTCCATTCGGACAATACTTGTAATAGTGCTTAAACAGATAAAAAGATTGGCGGTGTTATGCTGAGCCTGCTATAAAAAAATCCATATCAAGATCTGCAATCAAAATGGTGTCAAAAAATAGATGGGCTGTCAATTATTTAAGTTCTTTTGGGAAATATGCCGGAAAAGAATGAAGCAAAGATGAATATCGGATAATCTGAACGGATTTACTGATAACGGACCCTGAAATAATATTTAGCAATAAGAAGTGATGCAGTTAAAGATTCAAGGTGAAAATGTATTTATGTGTTAAAAAGTGATGCTTTCAAGATTTAAGACCGAAATCATTCCTTAAAGTGTGCAAAATTCCGAGGAATTGTTATTTCTGTAAGCATTGGAAGTGCATTTGAAACACAATAAATGTGAATTTTTTACGGTAATTCCGTGTGCATTGGAAATTAATTCTAATAGTGTGGCAAATTTGGAGTAATTATTTTATTTTTCATATGCATTAGAAATACATTTTAAAATTGTTTTATCTCTTTTGTTCATTGTTTTATGTTTTCTGTTTGGGTATTTACTAATATTGCGCAATATTTCGCGCATCATAGTAAAACGAAGCGTATTTACTGTTTTAATGGCTTAATTATTAAAATTAAACAAAATTAAGAAAATATGTATAAAAATGTAATTACAATTTGATTTAACTGGTTTTTTAACCGATTTTGCAATTGATAGGTAGGTTGACGTCGTTGCAGTGTGTTTTTGACGTTATGATAATCTGTAGTTCTTAAAGAAAGGGGTAATAAAAATATTATTAAAGAAAAAGTAATAAACATACGCTTTTGAAATTTAAAACATAGAAATTTGAGGATATCTCCAATATTTTTATTCTGTTTTCATGTGAATCCATTGTGTACGTCATATTTAGTAATACTCTATAAAAATAGTAAAATTTGCTAAATTTTTAAAATATACGGTAGAAGACTAATAACAAATATTACAGGAACAAAATGTCTATTGTAGTATTTGTATAGTTTTTTAAAAATTGGCATTTTCCTATATAATCCTATAGTAAATGTACCTGTATTTTATATTCAAAAAACATAGGATAATCAGTAATGAAGATGAAGTCTAATATAAAAACGGATTTTTTATTGTAGGTCACACAAGAAAATTAAAGGGTTATTAGGCAGTTGGATATTTTAGATTCTGACGGCCAGTTGGATCTTCAAATATCCAACTGGTGCTGGTTGAATCGGTAAAATATACGTAGACTAATAACAATGGGTGACGTCATAGAAGTTTTTTAACACTATATTAAACAGGATAATCTCAAATAAAAAAGTTCAAGAAAATTAAAGGGTTATATATATATATATATATATATATATATATATATATATATATATATATATATATATATATATATATATATATATATATATATATATATATATATACTGCTGAAACTTGTTTAGAGCAGGCTCGATGTATCTAACTGTTTACACGCAAGCAGTTTTTAGCATTTCCCAAGTGTTTCTTTGCTTTCAGTAGAATCCAGTGGTTTTAAAATTTAGCACCAATGTTAAACTTATTTATTGTATGGTTGCGGACACTGTTTAACTACATATAATTAAAAGTATTAATTAAGATAAAAAGTGAAATCTACCCTCCTTCTTAGTTCTAACCTACTTAAAATTTTATGCTCTGTCGTTCCCCTTCGTGCTTAGTAACACAAATAAGATGATCAATTGTTGCATTTACTTGTAAAAATATATATATTTATATAGGAAGCGAGAAAGCGCGAACACAAAAACATGACATGAAATTTTCTTCTTCATAATAATCGTCAAAGAGAGTTAAAAATATTGAATATAGTCTGTTCCTCATTCATTTGACCCTGTTATTTCAGGTAGAGTGAAGGCATTCTCTTTCTCTTGGTCAACACTTTTGTGTAACAAAACAATGTAAGGGACCTTTTTGTACATAACAATACCAATGCTGAAGCAGCCTATATGTCATTCCTATAAACGATAACTCATAAATCGGTACTAAGCTGGTCATTTTTCATACCTGAGTTACACATCCTTAAAACACAACATAGGAAAAGTCAATTATAATTAAATTCTTAATGATGTGATTAAAAGTATCCATAAGTTATTATCTTTTTTTATTATTTCATGTACCTATAAATCTATCTATGCAATGTTTTTACCTTATGTGCAACTTGAAAAATTAGTTGAAAGGCCTTTAATAAGCACCATCGACTTAAGGTTTCCGATTCATGTGTCGGGCAATAACAATAATGATACTGATCATTTAAAAGAAGAAGGCACAGAAAGGAGCATAACTCTTTAATTTAACTTTTTTCATGCCTTCATATAGAAAGGTATAAAACAGGGTAATGTGTCTATATTTTCTAAGGAAGAACTGAAATAGTCAGAAGAAGGACGACAAAATTGTCAAGATGATTTATTCCAGAGAATGTTCCCCTATACTCCCTCCATTTTTCGAGTAATGTAATGAAAATGTAAAAACTGTCCATGTTTATCTTTGGTTTTTAAATAATAAGAATATTATCAAGTTCCCAATCAGGTTTTTTACCACCATTTTATAACACACTGAGGTTAATTTCATTTTCCTTTGCCTTTTATCCTAATTCCTTGCTAATCATATTCATTTGCATTTAGTGTTAACACTGACATAAAGACAATTTTCGTTTATCAAGGTGTTAGTAGTCAACTGAAAAGATAATCTGACACATTTAGAAAAAAATAACATCCAAAACCTGTATATGACTCTGAAAGATCTTGCTGTTGAATGAAGTCGCAGAACAATTCATCTTTTATCTTTGGATTTAAATCGCCTACAGAAGTTCCCGTCCTTTCCTGAACATCTAAAGTGAATGAAAAAAATTCAGCATTTGAAATGAAATATGAATTCGTTGAAGAAATCTTAAGAAAGGTAGGGTCACTTTTTTCCGTGAAAGGTAATAACAAATATTTTATATATTTGAGAAAGCTTTATACAACTATCGTTGAGTATCACTGGCAAATATTTTTTTTTAAAATGCCCTCACATGTGCATGTGTTCGTCAATCATTTTTGAATTTCATTTACAATTGATACCTTATAAAGAGCAAAATAAATTAAACGTATAAACGTAGTGTTTTAAAAACACAAATAAAAAAAGGGTGTTTCTTTGAATGCATTTGAAATCGCAAAGTTAAAACATATGAATTCTCCCGCCCCTCCCATTTTGAAGCTAAAAATATAACCCATACTAACATACTGAGATAGAGCGGAGAGGTTAGTTATTCTTTAAATTATAAGAAACGACTTAGGAAAAAAAAACATTGTTTCGTGAAACAGCTGTGACAAATCTTAGGAACTTCCTAAGTTATAACTTAGGCATATCTTAAGTTATGTCTTACGACATATCTTAGGAAACGTTTGTGAAACGGGTCCCTGAAAGGTAGGGTCACTTTTTTCCGTGAAAGGTAATAACAAATAACCATAAAAACATCAACTGGTGTATCTACAGAGTAGCTTACATGCAAAAAAGCAGGACAAAAAGTCTATTTGTGGATCAGGGTCTGTTTGAGAGGCTTTATTGACAGGACCATCGTCAGCGCCGTGATCTGAAAAAAAATTTAATTAAATTTTAAATGTCCAGCAGAAACATCCCATCCAATACAAGAGTCTTTTGTTTCACTGTTTTAAGCTATCAATTTAATTTAAAATAAACTCATGGCTGTAGTTTTATCATTTTGTTCACTTTGTTACCTTCTTTTCATGAGAATAATTTAAGTTAATTGTGATTATCTTGGAAACTCACTTGGTATTTGGTTGTGTTTGTTGACTGACAAATCTGTTGGTAATCTGAAATCGAATTTACAGTAGTATTATATTTCGTATGTTAATTTTGCCTTTTCTTTAATCAGTGCTTTACCAAACTCACAGAAGAGTGATAAGAGTCAGCATTAAAGAAATATTATAAGATATTATAAAATATTTCATTTTGTAATGTTGTATCTGTCATTTGGATTAAAATCTACTTTCGGTGACGTCATACGTGTACATCAAGTAACGTGGAAATTAATCATGTTGTGTAAAGAAAATTTGGCTAAAACAGCATGTACAAAGTACGTAGAGGGAGTTTAAATCAAAACATTGGGTAAGGTTTCGTGCGAATGTGTGGAATAATTATTTTATTGACTGGACAGTGGGATTCTAGCAGCACTTTTTAAGGCATAATAGATTTTTTTTACTATATTATTTACTCAAAGAAGATATTCAAGTCCGGGGTATTGTTGTTTTGTAAGCTTTTATATTAAGGAATATATCGCTATTAATAGATGTCATGTGATGACGTGGTAGTGTTGCAAGTTTTTTTATACAATAGTTAATCATGAAGGTCTTCCGTCTTCAGCGGAAGACCTTCTGGTTATTCTTAGGTTTCTTTTCCACTATTTTTATTATTATAAGATCCTTCGTCTTCAGCGGAAGACCTTCTTGTTATTCTTCGGTTTCTTTTCCACTATTTTTATTATTATTGCTGTTTTTTTTTTTCTTACCGACATTTTGCGCGCCAGTTCTCGAGAACGGCTTGATCGATTTTCATGAAACTTTCAGGTCTGATAGAACATCAAAAAGTCTAGATATATATATTTTTTATTTTGATGGCGTCACTTCCGGTTCGGAGTTTTCAGCGATTTAGTGATTTTTAGAGGGTCACTTCGTCCGGCCGTTTTCTGAAAAACACTTAACACAGAAGCATGAAATTTTCAGCGATGCTAGAACAACCTTTGGAGAAGTGTATTTGGTATATCATAACCATCGGAAGTAGGAAGCGCCGACGTTCGCTATGGTCCAAAAAAAGTCCTATCGTGAATTTCAAAATTCCTCAAAATTCCTCAACCCCTTCGTTTTAAAGCTTACAAAAAAAATTTAAAACTTTTAAACGACAAGTGGTAAAGATATGGGACCAACTGCATGACCTTTGCCCTAGGGTCATTCAAAATATGAAGAAATTAAGCTCTTTTTATAGCTCTTTTGTTCTTCACCAAAGTCTAAACATCTTTGCATCTTTAATATGTACTCTTAAAACCATTTTAAAGATTTCATTCTTGTCCCCTAATATTGACTCCTCTAAAAGTTAGTGCCCCTTTCAGTGTAAACTCTTGTTATCGCTACTCCTCCGAAACCATAAACCGTAGAGGTACAAAACCTTCAACAATGTCTGTGACTAATTTAGTACAATTTTCATTCTATTAGTGCGAAAGAATTCCGTAAACCATTTGAAGTAGTTGTTGCCCCTGACAGTTTCTGATGTTTACAAAGAACTAAAAACATGGGACAATGCATGAGATCTTTTGACCTTTGACCTTGAAGATAAGGTCAAAGGTTAAGGTCATTGAGAAAGTATCAAAGTTGCTTATATATGTTTTTGGTAAATGACCTTGACCTTTGACCTTGACCCTTACTCAAAAGTAATAAAGAAATATTCATTATCTTTACCTAGATTTAGCTTCAAGTGTTAAACTCAAGTTATATATATATATATATATATATATATATATATATATATATATATATATATATATATATATATATATATATATATATATATATATATATATATATATATATATATATATATTGGATGAACGTGACCTTTGAACTTGATAAATGACCTTGACATTTGACACCATTGACCCAAAGGTCACAATCAAGCTTAAGGTCGTGGAGGTATTTACAACTCTCACTTTAACAAATGCCTATAAAATAATCCCCACCGCCTTCTCTTAAAAAAATCAATAGCAACGTAGAAAAATTTTGTACAACTCAAACGACACCACATATCGACATAAAATTCATGATATCAGTAAGAAGAAACCTCAAAGAAAGTGTCCTGAAAGTTTTATGGTGAGTCTCTTAAAAATAATGAAATTCTACTCAATATCGGCAAAATCTACATTTTTTTCTGTCTGAAATTTAGTTGTTGCTGAGCATAAAAATTAGTTAATGCTTGTATTGGCTATTTCTTCAATTGTTGTTAATACACTGTATCATTCGATTCTCCTGCTCTAATACGACATTTTAATACCAAGTATTCTTGTTTTCTTTAGAATGTGGAATTTATTTCAATTTTATTTAAATTTAATATTAATCGAATGAATCTCCAAAATAGCGATTTTTCCTGTCAAATAAATTTCCACGCTCTCAGTGACACGGTTTTTGTTCCTGATATGCATGTTTCAAGTTTAATTTATGTTAGTTACTATTAATTCAATCCAAATAGGGATGATTATTTTACCTATGACTTCACCATATCTGTCAAATCGAACTATATTTTCATGAATTGTAAACAAAGTGTCCACACTGAAATTCGAATATATCATAAGCTCTGTATGATTAACTCAATTTATTCAAACTATAAACAAACTCAAATGAATTTTTTTTACAGGAAATCTCCATTTTCATTATCCACCAATCATTTTTCTCAGAACAATTCATTATTCCTCTCTACATTCCAAAACAAACAAATAAATACACGTGTTTCTGTACTATTTAAAAACGCACGTGTGTCTCCATGTGCTTTCAATTCTATTTCAGCGCCCATAACAAACAAATAGATACACGTGTTTCTGTACTATTTAAAAACGCACGTGTGTTTCCATGTGCTTTCATTTTTATTTCAGCGCTCGCCTGTCAATCTGAAGGTCCCGAGTTCGAATCCGGCTGGGGGCACATTTTATTTGGAATTTTTTGCATTTGTCTTCTTTTTGTCAACCCAAATGACAGGTGGAAAGACTTCTAATTGTTCTCTGAACAATTAGTTTACTAGTATTTTGTTTGAAATTGTTCAGACAATGTGTATGTATACTTATACAATTTAGCGAAATACATATATGTTCGCTTCTTCTTCGAACAAAACTCTCTCTCTCTCTCTGATGAATGAAAACGCCCAGGAAATTAAGCATGAATATAAATTATATTATATATCAATTATAGTACCTCCTTTTTTAGATTGGGAAGTTCAATAATTAAAAAAAAAATCATTCATGAACTTTGGACATTCTTCATTAGCCTGGAGGAAAGAAATCAATTCAACATCACTGATTTTAAATTGCATTCATGTAATAAGATAGATAATTAGCAGCTATCACACAGGTTAAAAAGAAAACAGCATTTTGAAAGCAATTCAGGGCTATTGAGCAGTGAAGATTCTTTATCGTGTCAAGGCCTACCGTCACACGGGGCTTCCGCTTTAAGGCCTCACAAAAAACCCTACAATTTTTACTTCGATGTGCCGAGCACTTGGCGAAGGAACAGTTGCTACCCATTTTTATTGACTTGGGTCAGTCGCAGCCGCGGTTCGAACTCATGGCCTTCCCATCACGGAACGAGCGCTCTACCGACGGAGGTACCGAGACGATCTCATGCATAAAAGAGTATGTTGTCAAAAAAAAAAAATCAATAAATATTATTGAAAAAGCTTAGCTACACATTAAACAATACCAAACACATACATAAAAAAATGACTTTTGCTCCTCAAATTTACACATCTCTTTTAGTCCTAAAAGTCGTATGAGCAGTTTATGAAAGCACCCACGGTGAAAATAGAAGCAAGAAATAAATACAATAAGAATAAAACCCTTAAAACATTATGTTTCCAGACTTTTTAAAGCTTTATAGTAAACATTTGTTTAATATTGAATCGAATACTCACTTTTTCTTCGTCATTTAGTCTTTTCTTTTAGGATGCCTTAGTAGACTGTTCAATAAAAATGGTTGTGTGAAAGTCTGATAAATAATATCTTGAAATTATATTATCCAATCAATAAATTCTCTACACCTATGACATTTAATTCTTCAATAAAATACTCCACAATATTAAAAAGGCGGGGCTTAATTTATATTATTTATGCTTACATTGCCATAAAATCTATGATATTTTGATAAGATCAATAAAATACTAGTATGCCAAAACATTAAGAAGGCAGGAATTAATGTACACGTATATTGATTCTGTGTACATGTACACTGACATAAAAATTTCAGATATTTTAATCAGGATTGCAATTTTGAAACACAGCCTCACCCCCTCACCACCACACACAACGTAACACTCACTTTAGCTAACAAGAACACGTTTTGCAACATACATATAAAAACAAAGCCTTTTACAGGCTCATTAGACTTTTTAATCAATTTACTTATCTCGCCTAAGCCAAAAAAGGACTGAGTCTTATCAACGAGTTTTGAATATGTAAACAGCTTTGATTAAAAAAATCTAATCATAAAATAAAAAAAGTCATCAAAATGATGAGGTTTCCTCTTTCTTCACTTCAACAACGGTCGATCCTTCCGTCTTTTTGACATGTCCCCTGTACCCTGTGTGGTCTTCATTCTGTGCCTCCCTCTGTCTGTATGCCTATATCTCGACAATTTCCAATTTCAAATTCATGTAATACTCTCAAAGTTTCTTAATTGTTTAAACGTAATTTTTAGTTTGTTTATCATTCTATCTTCATAATTCATCTTTGGTCTGTTCTTATAAAGAATTGTCTTCTAAATAATAGCGGAAGTTTTTATACTACAACTCTTTCATTGCAAAATGATATCGTTTCTCCGCTTTGGGTAATGTGTCAACGTTATATGATGTACTGTTACATATTTCACGCCAAAGCACGATGCTTATAGAGTAGTTTCTCTGTCATATTTCCGTCAAATGTTAGTTATTCATAATTTGTTATGTTTTCATTAATTATCTCCCCACAATTTTTCAATTCCATTTTTTTCAATTTGCCAATGTGAATTTAAAAGGGTCTTTTGAAAAATAAAATTAGAAATATGCATAGGTATGGATATTGATTATA